CATCTAAAGTAACAGACAGGGAATCAGCACTTTTGAAACAGGGCTGAAACAGAGGGGATTATGGGATGCTACAATGCAAGATCTGTTTGGTGTTTGGAGCCAAACACTTCAGAGACATGTTTTGTATATATCTGAGACCTATAATATATCGATGAAAAACAGTATAATAGGAGACCTTAAGGAAAAACCATATACAAAGCTCAGATTTTTGTTCAGGTTAAATCCCAGACTTTTACATTGAAATCAAGCATTTCAGTTTGATTCATTTGATTCAATGAAAGGAATCCATTTGTGCTGAGAGGTGCGTCCTTGTCTCCTGCTGTGAGACGGACAGAGAGCTGATTGGAGGAGACGGATAGAGGGGGAAAGACATTCCGAGTCAGGATGACGGCAACTAGATTAGGAAGGGTATTTTAGAAAGAACGCAGAGACAGGGGATTGATCCACGGGCATCTCACCTGGCTGTTGAGCATGCTCTGTTGCTTGAGACGCAGATTCTCTGGAGTGTCGGCCACAATGGTGAAGGAAGTTTTGGGGTAATGCCTGAAATAACGAAAGAGTAAAACATTTTAGAATTTATATTCGGAACCAAACAACCAAAATGAATCCAAAAAAGACAACTGTAATGCAATCTTTCCTAAAAAATATAATTTGTAAGTGCCCCGATACAGAATGAGATGTTCTGGGTTTCCTGAACTGTTTTAAGCAGGATAATCAGTGTGGTGTTAACACTCACATACTGCAGTAAGGTTTCTTCTCAAAGCCTTTGTAGGTCGTCATGCTCAGGGCCATCTTGCAGACCTCGCAGCTGAAACAACCTTTGTGCCAATACTTGATGGAGAAAAAGAGAGCGAAGAGTCGGAGACAAAGCGTAAAATATTCAAAAGTCTTGCTGATTGTTCAAATGCAAGCACTTTAAGTCAGCAAAAAAGAAATAAAAAAAGAGGACATTAATGTAACGTTCACTGACAGAGTCGGAACATTCCTTTACTGCTCTACATAAGAGCGCAGCTGATTCTCCTCTTTGCTAAACAAGTGCAAATAATAAGAGATGTTACCGTGAGAAAAGACAAAATAAGGATGGTTATTGTTTTTAGATGCTATTCAAATAATAAGTTTAATTCTTTTAATTGGGGTTCAATGAGTAACATTAGATAAGATTTAAGACTTGTGTTCTATCTGTGCTCTCTTCAAAGCAATCAGACTCAATTCACAAAAAGGTAAATTTTACTTCGAAGAACATGGGAGTGTCTGGTCTCCCATTGCCTGAATTGGTTAGTCAGTGTTATTATACCAAAAACACCTGTGTCCTGTGGTCTAAAACTAATGTTTCAGTCAATGGAGTCTGGTTGCTTAAGAGAGCATAGATAACGCTTTCACTTCACTGTCAGATAGCGCTGACAGAGAGATAGATAAAGCAGTGAAAATATTCTAAATATAGGGTCCACTTAAACTAATAATAATAATAATAATAATTTGGGTGGCTTAAATACATTTAGCCAATGCCCTGCACATTGCCTAACTTCAGGTTCTTCTGTCTGTTGTCTAAATTGGAGGGTTGCTGGATTAATACCTCATACAATTGCACTTCGAATATTCAAACTATCTTTTAGCAACTATAGGCCCTGTCAATTTCCAGATTAAGGTATGGATGAGAGTTCTCCAACTCAATTAGTAACCTGTTTACATGATTTACTTAATGCCACAACATAAAATAACATATTTGTGGAGAAGAACCGCTTTAATGCAAGTTACATCATTGTGTCAATTAAATCAACCCAGACTGTTACATTGATCTGAGTGTCTTTATGGTTATCATAGAAGCTAACACACACACACACACACACACCCACACACACACCCACACCCACACACACACACACACACACACACACACACACACACACACACACACACACACACACACACACACACACACACACACAATCTTGTTTTCTCTTTCTTCAAATAGCCTTTAGAAGTTTTTGGCCAGTGTTGGTCAAGCGGATGTGGTTTTTCGTCTCTCGCTCCATTTTGTGTGTCTGTGTCATTTCAAAAATATGTATATAGAGTATTAGTGTGTATCTATATGTAATTGTGCATGTGTTGTCAGCCACATAAACAGACAATCGTAAAGTGGTCAAGCATCAAAGACGATACTATGGCATTAAGTACAACATATTTTAGTTTAAATGACATGTGTTGTGTTATATCTGCTAGCTTTTCAATGCTAAAACAATAGTACACTTGCCTAAGTCATATTTTAAGTAGTTTAATGTACTTGAGTATCAATGTTCTGCTACTCAATTTTCTGCTACTTTTTTCATTATTTTTCAGACGCAAATAATAATTATAGAGTCTTACCTCACTACTACTGACAGCTTTATCTAATAGTCAATCTGACATGTTTAGATGAATAGTACATGTTATATACAAATAAATGATTATGTATTGTTAAAGGTAAAGATAAAACTGATTCACTGGGAAATTCCTAGTTAAAAAAGCCCATATTTAACAACGTCAACATTAAAGTGATATCTAAATGCAATAACCAGAATCAATCACTCAAAGTTCAATATTTGAGTAGATTCGTTCTTCCATCACTGCCTTAAGTACATAACTTATAGTAAACTTATTATCAGACAATATTGCATATTTATAATCTCGACGTATATTAGTGAATTTGTAATATAAAAGAGATATCTGGTAAGTGAATTTGATTTAGATTTGTATCACCTTACCTTATCAAGGCAATTAATTTTTTCTGTTGGGTAAACTGGTTTATTGCATCTTCCACAGGGCGGATTCATGATGGCGCAGGGATTCTTAACACCAAAAAACAAACAAAAATACTAATTGAAAAAGTAAGTAATAAAATTAGTGTTCAGAAGTAAAGTACAGGCTATGATGATCAACCGGGACACGAACCGTCCTCTTCTTCGCATGCAGGCATTTCAATTAATATGACGATGCGACCTCAAGGCGAGGAGGAGTCAAACGTGAAGCATTGAGACTGCATGGTGCCTTCACTTAACATCGGATAAAGGAAGTTTCACTTGTTGTGGAAGAAGTACCAACACAACGCATAGGAGACAATCCACTAGATTAAAAATACTTTTCGTTTTGATATTTTAAGTATCTGATTATGCTCACATCCTTCTACTGTTTCACTGCGAGACTTTGACCTGTAATGGATTATATTTACAGATTAAATGTTTGTACCCTCCGCTCTTCATTATTGATTTGAATGTTTATATCCAGGTTAAAAGATGTGGATAACGGGTTTTTGCATAGTACCTGAAGGCAGCTTCAAATGCAATAAGGAGAATCCGAAAAAAAACCTTAAAAGGAGCAAATGATAGTACCCAAACAGAGAAAAGTATTACCACTACATTACAGTAAGAACGACTGCTATGAATACGTACATATCGGGACCTTATGTTTTCAATCTTAAAACAGAAACTCATTACAAACTGTGAATGAAATAAAACACAAGAGAGGCCTTAGTAATTTGGGTAAGTATGTTTTGACGTCCTCTGCTGGAGAATGTGAGACACTACAACCACTATATTGTTTACACTGTGAACTTACATTTTAGATCACGTTATGACTAAAAACCATAGAGGTTATCTTGCTACATGGCTTTTTAAGTGTGGTGATATACAAAGAACCATCATACACCTTCAACCTAACGTGTAATCTTAAATGTTTAAATAATCTGCTTTTTCCGTACAGTTATCTCGTCGGGGGTATAGCTCAGTGGTAGAGCATTTGACTGCAGATCAAGAGGTCCCCGGTTCAAATCCGGGTGCCCCCTCTTTTCCAACTTACTTTTTTAAAAATGTTTGAGCTACTTATTTGAAACTACCCGGTGCTTGTGAAAGAAAACACTTTTCGTTTAGAAAATTGCTGAATCACCATCACCATGTATCGTTACGTTGAGGTTATTTTCTCATTTACTTTTATATCATTCATTTTCAACCTCTTTTCCCCCAGTGTGCTAGCCTTATTTGGACAATTCAACACATCGTTCTCTTCAGAATGGTACGTCCCACCTGCACTTTTGTCATTCTGGTGTGTAAACAGAGTGTTGCCGTTAGCATTAGCCAATACATGTCCCACGTGTTACTGTCTTCGCTTAAGTTTGCGACCATTAAGTAAGTACTATAGTTAGTTCTTTGTTCGTCACTTGAGAAGATAATGTCACTTATTTTCCTTGGCCTGCTAGCAGGGGTCATGCTAATTAGTTAGGAACAATTAAGAGCAACTTACGTTAGCAGCAGTGTTAGCTAGCTTTTTTAAAGGTGCAGACCTCTTTTAAACGTGTCATCTTTATTCATTTGGAAAGCTAGTTATATAACGTTATATGTTAATTACAGGCAGCGAACGTGTCTGCATGATGATTCAGTGTTATTTTAACATACACTTCTGCTTTAAACAAACACTATGGAGACATGTCTCAGCTTGTTACATACGTAAACATAGCTATGTATGTAATTTAAATACATCTGAACCTACTACATGATTTGGGATCAATCTTTGAATCGGGCTCATACTGTGGGCTGTTGACTTTTCTTGTAGTCTTATGCAGTGGCGGTTCTAGACCAATTTGACTGGGGGGGGGCCCAGGCTGCGGCCCAGGCTGCGGCCCGTTATCTTCTGAGGGGGGTCCAATAAATGCAGGACGAAAAAGACAGTGTGAAGTAATTGCGCATAAGAAAACAATGCAATACAGTTATTGGTATTTGTTTCATTACACATTATTATATGCTTACCTTTTACCTTTGTGTGCTGTTTGGGTCTGTGGGACCCGCTTTCAGTAGGGATGCACCGAATATTCGGAAAATGGTTAAAAAGGCTTTAGCACCGAAAAAATATCACCGAATGTCAGAGAACAGGGTTACGTTGGTTAGCTAACGTGTTGTTGTGATGACGTAATCAAAACGCGGCGACAAGCACGGCGCGCGACCATGCTCGCGGCTGGCTCACAGCCAACATGTCTGGCGCTTGGAGATATTTAAAAATATCAGAGAAAGAGGCGCGGATTGCGATTTGTAAAACGTGTTCAGCTGACATTTCTCGAGGGGGTGTAACTGCAAAGACTTTCACCACTTCGGGATTACTCCACCACTTGAAATCAAAACACCCGGACAAATATGCGGAGTAAGATCAAATCACAAGCACTGACAGCGAGAGACTGTTCAGCGCTGCCTCTCATGTGCTTGATGAGAAGAGGAACAGACTTATGGCTGATAAAGCAGAGAAGCTACTGTTCATTAAAAAGAACCTCCCACTTTTCCTTAATAAGTAGACAAGGCTGGCTTATCATAAGCTTATCTAGTTCTACATGTCTACTCTATACCCACTTTCCTGAACAATTTTCATTGTGAGTTATAATTCACCATCTCAGGTTATCATTAGGGGGAAATGACAGCAGCACAGTAATTATAATAATGACAATATATTGTACTTTCTGTATCTAAATGATACAATGTTGTTTACATTGCTCACGAGGACAGACCACCTTATTTGCAGATTCTTGAAATTGTAAATTTAACTTTGTAATTGATTGTGGATTTTTGTATCCAGTTTTCACTTTTATGTATCTTTATACAATGTTTACTACTTTGCTTATGAGGACAGAGAGCATTATTTACAGATTCTTGAAAATTCAATTGTAATTCCATTTGTAAAATAATTCTTAGTAAGGTTACCACATGAATATCCTGTCTTTTTTTGACAAATTTTCCGCCCCTTCACTAAATCAGTTTATAACGGTATTTAATTTTCTGCTTCTTTACGGGATTGATCCCATTGTATCTATTCTTATTTTTCCAAATTTACTAAACAAATAACCACACACTAGTATTAAGCATTTCCTAAAAACCTAATAGACGGGGTTCATATGTCGCAGGAGAACAGTATACTCACCACACTCTCGGAATATAGGTATTTAAGTAACAAACACGAGTTTCACGTGGTCACCGTAAATTGAAGTTGTAAATTTTTCCTTTAATAGTATTATACGTTTAGCGTGTGTAAAAGAAATTCATGTGACTTTTTGATCCCACGTAGGCTTACCCTTTAATAACCGGCTTTTGGCTATGCTTTCATCCTTTGTCAACCGGCTTACGGCTTTCCGGTTTTTACTAGATTATCTTTATCATACTATATAATTCTACATATGTAAAAAATGGTTACAACGAAGTCGACGGACTAATACCTTTTTCTGTTACTAAATACCGTTTGAGATTGATTTTATTATTGAGTGATAATACCCAGGTAATTTGTGAATAAGTCGTGAAAACTTACCCTTAATGCGTCATCGGATGTGTAATTAAGGTCAGTTCGATTAAAGAAAAGAGACATCCTATCTGATGTTGTTTCCACGTAAGTCTTGTTTCGGTCCCACGAAATTTTGAGTATTTGTAGATACGGTCATCCGGATGGTTGTTTTAGCCACATTTTATTTCTGACATTGTCGGTCCGGAAGTTGTTGTTGTTTTACGTGGAATATTCACCGCGTATGTTTCACTCACGTGTGACCCTATTTAGGTGTA